AGTGAGAGAGAAAAAAGCACCACATGTGCTTTCACTGGCAGATAAAACCGAATGCCAAAGAAAGATCAGGAAGGTGCGTGGTACCTGATAATGGAGTGGAAGACAATGGAAAGATATCAAAATCCATCTGAGTAAAACAAGACGTTGCCTGTTTTGACCAAATATGGCAAACTCAGTGTTAAGCATACGAAAACCAGTGCTGAGTTTATTTTTTAAACAGCCAAAAATTCAAACGCCTTTTACAAAAAAGTAACCTCTTGAAGAGGAAGCTAAGAAAAAGCTCAAGTTTTCCTTTTCAAATTTTAGAGGGGCACACTGAGGTGGAGGCTATCAATAAAAGGCTGGTAGCCGGTGTGGAGAATAGCATATACCGCCCACGAAAGCAACACAGCTATTTTAGTGCAACTGCTACAATCAACGCCTATTTAAAGACTCCATCCTACAGAGTGTGGGTATGTCTGCAAAAAAAACGCTCTGCATCAGAACCTGTGAACCAGAGCAACAAGAGAGAGAAATAAGAAAGCTTTTAGTTATTGTTTATGGTGGCGGGCATCTGAAGTTGAATAAACAAAATGTGTGATCACATTACACACACCCATGAAGGAGATTTTTCATAGTTGCGATGTTAACCGTCAGGAACAGATAATGATATTATGTAGAACACCATTTGCCTTCGTATGAATTGATGTAACTAATACAAGTCGCTGTGTTGGTTCGTCATTAGCACTAATTAAAAACAATCATATTCTGGGTAAAACTGCATCTGTGGCCATGGCAACCAACTCCCAAATGGTGAGTAGCGGCGAAGCCCGCTGTCTTCTCCACTTCCCCCGGCAGTCATTGTGATTTGTGGACCAATTATCACACAGCCAGAGGAGAGGGAGCACTTCAGCTAGACAAGTCGCCGTCCCGCCTAATGCGTGACATCCTTCTGGTGTCTGCTAGCATGCGCTGCCTCATGATTGCAGGAAATTACGCTGCACATTATGTCTCCCGGTTGAGGCTGCGAGGAAGCGGAAACATTTACGCTTTTGCGTTTTGGAGTTATTGCTTTATGAGCGTCCTGAAAAAGGCAGATTCTCAAAACAGAGCTGCGAAATAAGAAAAAACCAAGCTGAGAGTGTGATGGTTTGCTACCTGGTAATTAAAAATAGCACTGTAGCTGAGTGAATGATGCCCCGCAGCAGCAGTTACATCACAGTGGCTTTGTCCCTTAACAATACCGAGCCTCCCTCTGAGCGCTAAACAAGGTTTATCTCTGCCCTGTGAACCATCTCACTTAACACCCAAATTCACTCATAATCCAGTTATCGTCTAGCATCATCATAACTGCTTGGTTGGAAATATTTAACTCCTGTTTTATTTGTCACAGCACGGGCACGTACTGTGATCGTAATCATGTTTACTGTCAAACGTGTAATATATTTAAAAGAAGAAAACGTTCCATAGGGCATCTGAAGGCTTAATGCTCACATCCTTATGACCATTTCTTTCGTGCAAGTTCGCACCAAATCAAAATTGTTTGGCGGCTTTCAAATGTGGAGGTCAGTATGTCATTCAGGGTTTGGACTATTTCATGATTCTGGCCCTGATTAGCATTGATGCGAACTCCGTACTTTTTACATTACATACAAGAGGTGCTGACACCAAAAGTTCATCTCACACAATGATGATATCGAAACCAACAACTGAGTCAAGAAGAGACAACTTTGTGTGATATTTACCAGTGCATGTTGAGTCCAAATAATAGAGAGGCGTAATTATTATGAACTCTTGATAGTCACTTCAGTCGTCTAGTAGTTTATCTCAAAAACTATCATTGTAGCGTCTTCATGTTTTCTGGTCTTGTCCTCCTGATGGTCACCATAGTCACCACTGTTCCCAAAGACATTGTAGCCCCATTGTAGTAAAACTAAAGCTACCAATGAGAAAACTGCTCATTTAAAAAAAAAACTACAATCCTGGGTACATTTTTTTAGCTTAAATCCCAATGTGTAATGACCTACATCTCCATCTTCACCAAATGAGTACTTTGAAAATCTGACTCAGGCTATGTTTAAAAACAGTTGGTTTTGGGAATATTCTTGACAGTTTTTTTTTTTTATGGTCTATCTGGTTAGATTTATGTACCTAAATCTCAGGGTTAGCTCCAACAACCTAGTCTGAGTGGAAAAAATGTCTACAATGTTAACCACATTCTAGAATGTGTCTACATTCTCTGGCAAGCTTCCCCTTTTTTGGGTAACCATAGTGACAAATTCCCAGAGGGATGCTGTGATGAGCTGTATGGGTGCAATAAAGTTCATTCTGTTGCTTTTGGCTAATGTCTTTAATGCATCTTGATTTTTAGCTGGTAAAGGTGTTGTTTACATTGTAACATGTATCAACTTCAATTTCATTCAAAAAAGAAACTGGAGAGCTGTGGATGAAAATACAGAGAAACAGATTATACTGTACTACTACTGCTATGCTAATTGAATCCTACATTTCTACCAGGCTTCACTTGAAGAGTCCAACTTCCATTCATTTATTTTCAGTCATACCGAACCTTTCCAAGAGACCAAACCTATCCATGAAGTCATGGGTTTGTCTCCTCAAATCCTACTTTCCTATTGAAACATCTCAAAGTGTGTCCCATGAGATACAACCTGGAAGCATACAAATCTCAGCTTCCAACCAACTCAGCTGGCTCCGTTCACTGATGAGGCACAGTGACTCCAATCTGAACCCTGGATGGCTGAACTCCTCACACTGTTCCTGAAGGGAGGCCAGACATCCTTCAGAGGAGGCTCATTTTAAAGTCGCTTTTCCTGAGCTCATTCTTTTGGTTACCTCACATCTCATGACCATTTGATAGTATTCAACTGTACATAATAAAAGCATAATTTAAAGTAGAGATTCAGATGAACTAAATCAGCTGTCAATAAAACCCAGAGTTACACGTTGGTTGCACCTTATCGAGTTAGAATTGTTCATGCATGTTCATTGTCCATAATAGTGAAAGAAATTTTTTTTTTTAATGATCTCTCTACACATCATATGAGGTCATAGAAAATGGGTAACTAAGATCCTTTCATATACAAATACTGCTTGATTACATATCAAATTTAAATAGTGTTCAGTACAAAAATACATTTTCATTATTTAACAGATACACCTTCTTTCCTTTTCTGCACTCACCCACACACTGAACTATTTTTAATTACTCAGAAGTCAATAGACTTGCCTCACTTTCATCATTTGGAAAATGGCGATTGTATGTTTACATCTGGTAGACATCTCGATTTAAAGGAACACAGTGCTCTAATATAAGTGATGAAGTGTTCTGAATCTGACCAGAGTACACGCAGGTTTTTACATTTAAATGTCACCTGATGTGGAGATAGAGTTCAGGCAACATGATGGAGTCCGTTCTTTGGCAACTGGTCATTTGGGTGCACATAGTGCCACTGTGATACGGAGTGTGTTACAGCTCCCAGGAGCCCCCAAGCTGACACACAGAGAGGATTATTTGTTGTTGATGACAGCACTGTGAGCCTTTCTCTGCCCCTGGCTGTACTTCTTTCAAGTTGGGTATGAAAAGTGACACATCGTGGCTCCTGGCTGAGTCTCCTCAGGTACTGAGAGGAAAATGTCCAAAACAGGAATAATTTCAGTTTTTAAGTCAGGTAAAGAAAAGGAAAGGGCCAAATGTGAACAGGATAGAATCACACTGCCATCTTATGGTTGAAAGTGAGCATAACAGTGTCTCTCCCTTGTGTTATTTTATTTATGTATGCCTATATAGTTCCAGTTTAATGAGAAAAAATGTTTTGCTCTCCCACAGACCACGTGTACCTGTTGATTATCCCAACTGACTGATCTCAGATCAGCACAAATACACAATAAAGAGTCAAAAAGATAAGAGCTTGTTTTAAATGAAGCATATTTAAGCATTTTGTTTGCGACTAGACAGGGGTAATTTCTTCTCTGGCCCTTCAGATAAAGGAACAACCAGCAGCATAAGCATAAAGCTGTAATTCTTTCTTTGCACAAATGCAGCTCTGGGTTACGGATAGGACCTCCTCTCGTCACGTGGCGCATTTCCCAGCATGCCGGCTAACATTGAGTCGTTTCAAATTCGATTAAAATGTCTTTTACGAAGTACATAGATGTGAATGTTCACAACCTTTGGCAATTAGTCCGACTACATGCCTTGAATTTAATTAAAAATGTTGTAACCATAAGTTAGATATTTAAAAGTACGTAATACTATAAATACAATTAATCCGACATCTTTTGGGAGACTAGTTCAATGATGGTGCGATTTTAATTGGTGGCTAATGTGAGTTAACGCACTTACCATATACGTTTCTTCTCTCGTCTGCCTCACCGTCGGCTTCGACTAGTCTTTTTGGAATTTCAAACCACACTTTCACGTTTTTACACATCCAAACTACAGCATATTTAGCCAAACTATTGTGTTATTGAATGTTCAAACGTTGAGCCTGTAACACGAGGACAGTCACTGCCAATAAATGTGCAAGTTTTCCCCCTATATACCTAAAGTAAGTGTGTGAAGTAAGGGGTTTACATAATGTCTTTCATTTAGGATGAGTGAAAGACACTGGATTGATCAGTTGTGGTAGGTTAGCATAATTACTTGTGTAAGTTCTACAAAACTATAGCCCCTTCATTTCAGCACTGTATGCTGCCTTTACTATTAAAACGAACCAAGTGGTAGAACAACGTTACATTTTTTCAAATGGATAAAACTGTAATAAAACTTTCTTGTTCAGACTGTTTGGTTTTCATGAAATTTATCTTAAAACATTATAGAAGGAGTATAGGATGACAACACACAAAATCACTAAACTGACAGATTAATGTACTGTAGCCATGACTTATTTTTGGAACTTTCGGTTTTATTCAATTAAACCTGTTGTTTTCAAAAGAAAGAGTATCATTCCGTTTACCCCGTGTCCACCGAATTCACAGCCTTAATGAGAAAAGGCCTCTTCAATCAGAATCAGAAATACTTTAATAATCCCAGAGGGAAACCAGGGGGTTTTATAATGAAAATTAAATATCACAGTTAATGAGAAAATAAATTGAACCACAAAATGAAGGTTATGAAGTTTATTAGAAATAACCAATTTCAATCAGAGAAAGGCATCCATAGATGCCTGTCTTGAGTGACCGCTGTAAAACTGCATATATCTCATTTACAAAGTCACCCAGTGCACATACAGAACCACCTCCTGCTCAAAACCACGAAAAAGAAAAAGAAAGATTCCAGCTGCTGAGGTGGCGGAGATTTTCGCTTCTGTTTCGGAATGGGAGATTAAACATATGCAGACACAGTAACCTAAACTGTAAGTGTGGATTATGTTGGTCTTTCACAACAATCCCAGTTTGTATTCCACCATCGTGTGTGGCTCCCCCATCATCTCACTTTGGGTCGGATCTGCGAAGAAAAACACAGTGTTAAGATGCACATTAACGTGGGTTAATGTGAAGGGGCAGAAAAGGTCTCTCACCATTGAGGACGTCCTCGAAGCCGATGGACTCGTCGCTGCCACGCAGTGTGTCGAGAGCCAAGTTTGAGCTTGGTAAGAATGGTAGACGTGTGATCTGGAATAAAAAAAAAAATAAAGGAAAAAAAAAGCTCAAGATGTGAGGAAAAAGAGGTATAACCTAAATGTAAACAATAGAGGAGGCCCTTTTCTACCTGTTTGGCTGCCCTGAACTCCATCTGCAATTTGAGCGGAGCATGAAGACCTTGTATGTTTCTCAGAGTGGAGAAATTCATCTTGTCCTGGTTCAGCTGAAACTGCACATAAAAGGAGCCGTTAGACAGAAAAACACTCTGCTTTGGTTTGTCATGATGCCCATTTTTCCTTCTGTTACACTGTATGTCGACAGCAGCAAGCTTAGAGGATACAAAAAATTCTGTAACTTGATGATAGAGATGAAAAGACACAAAATAGGTGATTCTATCATATTAAAAGATGAAATCTTCAAACTTCTGACAATGAATTTAAACACTGTTGCCATCATGTTAAAAGAATCCATTGACATTGTTCTCTATACATGAATGCAGAGTTCTTCTTCAGCCTATCAAAACCTGTCAATAAAGCCACACACAAGATCCATGAAAGCTGACTTACATTTTTTTCTGACAGCTCCAGCGGATGGCTTGGAAGGAGCTCATTCTTTACACTGGTAAAGCTATGTGCAGAAGAAGAAAAGCAGATCGTTAGAAAGAGACTCGTGGACCTCTCAGGTTAAAGATAGTATGTATACTACAAGGACAGCAACTTACCCGCTGCGTAAAGAGTCCTGAACTCCGTATGCTCCCTGTGGACAGAGACCTGCCACAGGTACGCTGTCCCTGAGCTGAGAGCGGAGTCCCCGACTGTTCTGTGATACACAAACAACACACACCATACTTATTTAATATATTGGATACTATTTCAGAAATACAAATCGGTTAAATTGATTCCAAAAAGCTTAATTTATCCTCTGTAGTTCGTTGACAACGTCACTGCTAGCCTACTAGCTAACTAGCATTAGCTCGAGTGACTAATCACATTCATAACAACTCATACTTAACAGCTTTAAACAAAATAGGTTTGATCGAAGATAATTATATAACTGCTCCTATGACCTAAGTAGACAAAATAATGTTCGTGATGTGGTTACAATTAAACGACGGAACAATAGATTATTGAAAAGACCACCATACCATTATGAATGCCTTTCTTGCGCTTTCCTTTCGATACACTGGAACATCCGGTCGCGTCGCGTTTAGAAGACGACACATCCGGTTCCAGCAGCTACGCACGTTTTTGTGAGATAAAGTAAAACCGACTATTACGCTCTGTATCTTAAAAGCAAGCGTTTTTCTCTTGTCTAATATATTCGATATACAATCAAACAAAACCCATAACACTTGGGCAGCTTTGCTGTTCTCTATAGTATATTTTGCCCGCCTTCCGCCGTTATGATAACGGGGGTATAGCTCAGTGGTAGAGCATTTGACTGCAGATCAAGAGGTCCCCGGTTCAAATCCGGGTGCCCCCTCTTTTTTTCTAAACTTACATTTCTTTTGGTTGACTTCCTCTGTAATGTTCCCCCACATACATATATCCAAAAACATTCATGGTAGATTGAATTCTGAATTTCAATCGTGCAGAGGACTGCATAGGAGTGTGTGTGATGGACTGGTGATCACTCCAGGTTAAATCCTGCCTCTCATCATACACTTGGGGCAGGCTCCAGATACCCCTTGGATGGACGAATATATTACATTATGTCGTTCAAATGCATTTTTATACTGAGGGAACACCTACTAGTTGTAAATGTTGAGAGTTATTTTTATCTTGATTACTTGAAACTCAAATCAACAGGCACAAGATGCGTAATGACACTCTCAGGTACACGTGTGCTTTCGCACCTTATTTCTCTTTCTAAATGTTGATGCAAAATCTTAAAAAATATGGACAAAAAGTGAGGCAAAAAGACACATTTAAACCACAGTAAGGGGAAGGACATGTTTATATCACTAAAACCCTGATGATAAAATATCAAATTATGAACGGCATCTCTTACATCTGTTACAAATTCTGAAGGAAAAATTCTGAAAAAATCAATCAGAATGATTATTTCTATCTTAAGAATCAGAAACCTTTTTTTAAACTCTCTGGATACTTAATCACATGTATGAAGTTATAACCAGTTTGACATCAAATTTAATGTAATTAATCTGAGATTAAATTATTTTTCATTAGATTAATAGTTTTTTACAGGTCACCTAAATCCATCTCCTAAAAGTGAACCTCATTCATAACCTGTGATAAAAAAAATATAATGCATGAAATATAACATTTGAAACTCAGAGAGGACACATAATTCTATATATAAAAAAAGTTTCCAGCAAAACAAATGTTTGCAAGCCATCATCTAGTCACAGTCTGCAGACTAGCGATTTTATTCTGTTCCATCTAACTGTTGTCATCAGCCAGCTCTCATGGATCTAACATAAATGAACCGTGAGGAGAATCTGTAGAGGGAAAGATGAATATATGAGACAAGCAGGAAGAAAGGGGCCAGAAAGGAGTGGAGGTGTAGAAAAAAAATTCTAATCCTAAACATCAAATGACAGAACACAATCTGGTCTAAAGAGAGAATTTTTTACGAGGGAGCTATTTTCTTTTTTTTTTTTTACCTTTGCTAAGCTCAGATGAGTGACTGCAGGCCAGATGTTTCCACTCCTGCAAATACCTGCAGCAGCAAACCAGCAAAACATTAGTATCCTCTTTTTTCTACTCCTCTCCTAATCCCAGGCAGTATTAAGCCTATCCCAGATGCCAATCACAGCCCCACAAGAGACAAAAATAACAAAAGCTCACACTAAATCAAACCATACTTGAAAATACACGGAAAGTGAAGTGGCACATTGAGAGGTATTGGCTCCTAAAGCGTTTCGGCAAACGAGAGCGAAGAGGATCTTACTCCTCAAAGTTGAGCGTGTTGGTCCAGGCCAGGAGCTCGTCCAGCTCCCAATCCAGTATTTCGTCATCTCCATTTTTATCTACTGTGTCCATCACTTCCTGAGCTGCGTTTTCCACCAGGGTGGCCATGTTTTTGTCCTCTGAACGAGCCTGCAGGCGGCCATGGTTATACCTACACATTAGGGGCAGAGGTAGGGTAATGGTGGAAAAGCTGGCACGTCAGACTGTTGAACCTTTTGTTTGGGCTGGTGGAGCATGATGACCAAAGGAAGGAGACACAGCGATCATTCTGAAGATCATTGTGAACTTGTTTATGTAATTCAATCTTAATTTAGATAACAGCCTTAACATTTTTAACATATACTGAAAATATACTGACAAACTGATGTTTCTTACTCCACTCACCTATCTTTTTTTTTAGCTAAGTGATTGAGAAAAAACTTTTTTTCCCAATTAGCGTTAAGATAGAAACCCCAAGTAATGGAGCCTGTGAGTTATACTTCAAACAATGAGCATGAACACTTATTCAGCTCTGAAAATGTTTGGCTATTTAAAAAGATGACTTATCTGAACTATAGTAGTTACTATTACCGGCTATGAAATAGCTCTTATGAAATTTAGTCCAACCTTATCAGTTCTATGTTATCTATTTAGTTTTTGCACAAATACTTGAAGTCATAGCTGTTTACTAACTGCATTTTCTGGGTGTTTCAGGCTGATTTTGTACAACTTTGGTCAGATAAACAATATCCATTTTTTAAAGTTACATTAGCTCTTTCTTTTTATTTCTATTGCCACGTAAAGGCATAGCTGTATACCTGCTTACTCACATCTGCTTCAGCCACTCGATTTTCCTTCTTTTCCTCCACCTGCCCACATCCTGTTTTCGCTGCAATCTCGAATAATGGAAGTCCTTCTTTTTGTCAGCACCGATCTCTGCAGGCTCATCCACAGTCACCAGCTGTAAAGGAGAAGAAGAAAAAGAGAAAATAATGCTCAATCTCCTGTTCATGGAAAAGCTTAGTTTTGCCATAGTTGATAAGCGTTTTCTAAGAGAATTCTGTTTTCCCCCTCTCACCTTGCAACAGAACAGCCTCCAGCTGTTGTAATCCATTCGCTGGTACCGACCGGATCGGTCTTCCTGCTTAGTCGCAGATCCACAGCTGGTCTTCTGATCCACAGCCTTCTTACATCCTAGCTGGGTGTAGCCCTTTGGGCTGGTTGCGCATAAATCCACAACAGGCCGATAGGTAAATATCTTGTAATAAATATTTGGAGGGAAAGTGATCTGAAAACAAAGGTAAAGTTCTTATATTAGCGAGCCACTGTGTCAACATAATTTTTAGTCATTTTTTTCCCCCTTCCTGAGTTCTTACCCCACCAAGTCGAAATCTGATGAAGACTCCAGCGGCAGCATCCAGCAGTTCTGCCTGCAGAACATATGTCAGACTTCATCTCTGTCTAATAATCTTTTTTAAAGTAAATTACATCATTACGTCTGTTACCTCACGGGGATTGACACTCTTGAGGATTGTCTGTGGATTCTGCTGGTCACAATGGAGGATTACCATTTTGAAATACTTGAAGATCTCCCTTGACTGCATCATGATAAACAAATGAGCTTGGACCTATAACTAGGTACTTTCATTGCACACAGATAACGGGAGTTTGATCTGCGGCACCTACCACATATCGTCTCCAGGCCCTCTGAATTATTCTGACTGCTACCTGCTGCAAAGTTTCTAGCTGAGGCTCCTGGGTATCCTCTTCCTGTGAACTAGTGGGGGGGAAAAAACCGATTGTTAAGATTGATCATATTCTCAGTTTAAATTCAAAACATTTTATATGCTGCGACTTTTAAGGAACCATGCTGAAAACAGTGAGGGGACGATACTAACCTTTAATGTATATATCTATATATATAAATATATCAGGGAACCTTGTTTGCTCTATTAGTTGAGAAACAAGGAATAATAGCAACTGTATTCAAACGTCTTGTAAAATGTCTTATAAAATTGGTAAAACAAGAGAAAATTGGTAAGTAATCTCCACTCAAGAAACTAAAGCTCCTCTATTTTTATTTAAAAATACAAATATAGTGATTGTACAAGCACATTTTGATGTATTGGTTACACATGAGGAAAACAAAAACTATTTCGATTCATGTACAATAACTTATGCTATATTAGCACAAATATGTTATAGTTATGCCATAGCTAGCAGAAGTTGACCCTGTTAGCTGTCTAGTGTGTCTAGTCTACGTTAAAAAGTTAAACCTAAATTTAACAAACTAATTACTGGTAGTGCACCAGTAGCGTTTAACACAGTAGCACACTCCAAAATTAACTGCTTAACATTGAAAACGTCCATAAATTACCTCATAATTCCTACGCTGAAAACATTTAATCGCAGGAGTTCACAAACGATTTCAATTGGTTACCTAGCAACGGAGTTCGTACGCTCTAAAATCTACACAGAAATCCCGGACTTTTATTTACGAAAACACGTTTTCAATTAAACAAATTCTCCGTAAACTTCGTAATTTAGTCTCTGGCGCGAAACATCTTTTTTCTCAACTTCTATATTTCCACCAACGAGAAGTTCTTGTCAATACACAATCTTAGATAATAATTGCTGATGCTCTGTGGTCTCAAACGTGGGTTTGAATTGTGTATTTAAAGGTTCGGTGAAATATAAAGTTTAATATTGCCTTTGCATTGATAGGCATGTTCTTTGTACAGAAAACACCCCAAAAGAGGGTCCACATTTTTTAATAGCAACACATAATTAGAAGAGAGTCTAAAATAGCTGTCATCTATGAATTAAGAATAACCCATCAACCCATCAGAAGACTTGATCATTCTACGGCAGTGTGTTGTTTTACATTTACTGTTGGTTAGTTAGATCTTATGCAAGGCAAAATCCTTTAAAGAGAATAGATTAGAGTAAAATAAAAACATGAAAATGTGGTGAAGAAATAGTAGAAAAAGACTTAATCACTTCACTATAAACAGACTTGCATCTTAAATTCCCAGTCTAAAAAACACCTTACAGTATTAAATTTGGCCAGTAGATGGAGCTATTTAATAACTAACTCTTACCTCATCATCCACACAATGAACATTATTTTTGTAAGCACACAAACAGATGAATACCCTTAACTTGGAAAAAAAATGTTTTGATTAATATACTTTTAACAATTGTGACTCAACTCAGAATTAGGTCATATGTGTCCTCAGTCTACCCTTACAGTTATTCTGTGGGGCATTGAAGTATGAAGTCATCAGCTAGCTGTGACTGATGTCTTTGTGCGAAAAAGCGAATGCAGAAAATGAGGCCTTTTGATGCGTGTGATAGAAGCTTACAGTGAACAAGGAGTACAAACATACGTTTACATACACGCAAACCCTCAAATAAAAAGCCTGTACCCACACAAAAGTTAAATTAGCATAGTTAAGTGGCTGGCTGAGAAAATATACACTAGAAGTACGCAGCTGTGCTAACCTTTAGAAGATATGCAGTTTATGTACGAGTTTATGTGATGAGTCCTTTAAACTTCAATGGGTTTCGCAGCTGACCACGACAAGTTTTCCAGTTAAATGAGTCAAACATTTAGTTGTTTAGCCATGCAGACATCCTGTTAGTATAGGGCAGTGTTTTTCAACCTTTTTTGAGCCAAGGTACATTTTTTCATAGAAAAAATCACGAGGCACACCACCAACCAAAAATGTTAAACAAATAGTTATCACTATAGTTATCCTTATTTTATTCTTATCTTAAATGTCTTGAATAGGAATCAAATAAACACAAAAATGTATTTTTATCATATTTTATATTTCTTCTTTCAAATTGCTCTTAACATGTCCACTTCAATTTACAAAATTATATACAAAATCTAGTCATAAGGAATTATTACATGATTACGCCACCAGTCACTAGAACAGCACAGACACTCAGAAATGGAATATTATTTGCAGATAATTAATTATCAAAAAATGTTTTTAGACCAATTAGGTGAAATAGGATGATTTTCTACGGCACACCTGACCATCACTCACGGCACACTAGTGTACCGAGGCACAGTGGTTGAAAAACACTGGTATAGGGTATAAAGGTGAGGCAATCAGCCTGAGAAACAGACACTAATGAAACCAGAACAAAGCTTTATTGGGAGTATTTTTACCTTCGCCTCTAAAAATCAGCTTCTTTGATACAATCCTTCCACCTCTCCAAAGAAGAAGGAGGCCCAAAATTCAACAAGAAGATTCATGGCATTGACCAGGTGTTGTTCTGTTCAAAGCGTGACTTGCTGAGGGACAATTAGATAGATATGACTGACTGAATGTGCTGATTTTAGAACATACAGATCATCTATTAAAAGATTCTGCATGTTAAGATTTCCTACTGTTAAGATTTATTTTGGAAAACACTAAAAGACAAATTAAAACACATTAAAGGAACTACCAAAATCCAATTTTCCCGAGGCCTTGATGTTCAAAACAGATGTCCTTAAAGGCTTTCTTGTGGTTGACATGTCTTCCAGCTAATGCATCCAGTTTGCTGCTCTCCCTATTAAAAGCTGCTGATACAAACTGTTAACTAGGCTGACATCCACTGTGCAGCCAATGTCTGACTGCATCTCCTCAAAGCCTGAGGAGATATGGCAGAACGTAAGGAACGTTTACCAAAGCAGGAACTTTTATTTACTTTTCGCTCTTGTTTTTTTTTCTTTTGTTGTTCTATTTTTTTCATCATGTTTATTCCAAACCAGGATATGCTTTCAGCAAGGCCCGATTTAGATCTGTTTACCCGCCACTTTGGATGTTCTTGCAACAAAACTTGGATTCCAGGATGCTTGCTGTAGGCTTTTGACTTCACTCTGGGATTTTACTGTTATTAGAGTTGCACAGCAGCAGAGCTTTGGCAGACCCACTTAACCCAAATGTGATACATATCTGTTTGCTTGTACTGTACGTGTAACGTGCCTCTGCATGCAGCTTCCTGTTTACACAGCTGTCCAGCATGATTCTAATTTGTTAGAAACTAATTATTCTTACATTTATTGGCCAAAAGCAACATCCAGACCGCTCATAAACACAACACTGAAAGAGTCAGGGGTTTCCCATTAAGGAAAAGAGCCAACATCACACAAGAAAATATGTGTATAGGCTTGCGTGATGAGAGATGGTGATCTGTGATCTTAGTGCTTAGTTCACTGTGACACCTCGTTGTTTATTGCAGCAGTCTAGCTTTTAAAAGCAATGCTTCTGGTATTTACCATGAATAAATATAACTCCTTGTCCAGTACAAGGAAAAAATTCTTGGGTGGGTGGTAGGACACCCTAGATTAAATTTCCTCATATTCTTCTGCTTTTGGTCAAATTAAAACCATCACATGGTCAATTTGGATTGCATTTGGAGGTATTAGCCATAATTAAATTTGAAAAAATATTTGGATTTACACAACGGAGCCTGTTGTCTCCAAATATTTTCTCTTGGGAAAAACCGTTGACAACCGTAAAAAATGACATTTAAGATTATATCTTCCTTTGATGTGTAGGCACCAATATCTGGAACCTGCTGTCCCACTGCTTGGAAAATATTCCAGATTGTAAACACATTTGTGGCAGCAGTGACTCTTTCAGTTCTTGTTCTGTCAGTCTTGATCGACTAAAAGTGATGCATTGGGGTACATTTAGGAGTCCTTTCTCTGCTGCTCTTGTAAAGTGCACACTAAGCAGCCTTTGTTTGATGACTCTTCCACTAATGCTTCATCAATATGTGCTGGGCTCCATGGTAGAAAAGTCCTCCACCATTCTGCATTCTCTTAATTAATCCTGACAATACTTTGTTGTCGAAAAGGGACTTTGATTATCCTTTATCCTGCAAATAGATTTCCTGTGAAAGTTTTCCTAGATCCTCTACAACTGCATCATTTTTCCTAATTGCCTTTTTAATAATGTTATTTCATACATTAGCTACCCTAACTGTGTTAGGTCATTTTTTTCCCCCCTGCACATCTTCAAACAACCGCCCATGCTTTTATCTAATCTGAACTGGATTACGCCAGAGCTATTTTTTCTGGCTGCCGCAGATGGAAACATCAAAAGACCAAAGCTGAGATGAAACACTCCTGCCAGGATGGTCACACTTTCAGAGGGACACAGAAACAATACCTTATTTCTTACGGCCCCTTTGTGATAGATTTCTTTCCTAAATAACTTTTTGTGATTGTTTTTAAAACCTATGAGAAAATCCTCGGTCAACAGTTCCACACTCTCTTCTGGTTAGTAATGGTGAGGTCCAAGAAATTAATCTCATATTCTGAAGCTCTGGCTCAGTCAAGCTTTTAAAAATCCAATATAAAAACCCACATAAGTATTTAGGATGTATTTAACTGATGGCCTTTGTTACTGTTTGCTGAGTTGAGAAGCCACTGTAGATATACAGTGGGGGAAATAAGTATTTGACCCCTTGCTGATTTTGCTGGTTTGCCCACTTACAAAGAATGCAACAATCTATCATTTTAATCATATATACATTCTAACAGTGAGAGACAGAATCCCAAAGAAAAATCCAGAAATTCACATCACATGAATTTATAAAAATTGATAATTATCTGATGAGGAAAAACAAGTATTTGACCCCCTGGACAAACAGCATGTTAATATTTTGGAGAAAAGCCATTATTGGCCAGCACAGATGTCAAACGGTTTTTATAGTTGGTGACAAGGTTTGTGCACATTTCGGCAGGGATGTTGGCCCACTCCTGCCTGCAGACAGCCTCCAAATCATTCAGGTTCTTGTCCCTGATGTCCGTAGAAAGCTCTTTGGTCGTGCCCATGGTGGTGATGTTGGATGCTGGTTGTTTGGGTGTTGACAGGTGTCTTTTATACAGGTAACGAGGTGAGGCAGGTGTATTTGATGTAGATAATTGGTTGGGATTTGGGCTGTGTCTTAAAGAAAGACTAACTGGCTTGTAGGAGCCAGAATACTTGCTGTTTGGTAGGGGGTCATATACTTGTTTTCCCTCATCAAATGGTTATCAGTTCTTATAAAATCATATGATGTGAATTTCTGGAATTTTCCTTGGGATTCTGTCTTTCGCTGTTAGAATGTACATATGATTAAAATAGTAGATTGTTGCATTCTTTGTAAGTGGGCAAACCTGCAAAATCAGCAAGGGCTCAAATACTTATTCCCCCCACTGTACATATATAAGTGTTATACGTGTATATATTTTATATTTTGAACTCATGATGACCTGACGTGCCACTGGTTCTTCTGCACAGGGGAAGAGACTGAGCTGTGTCCTCCCTTGTCACACACAAGGACAAATGACTTATTTATAAAAGGGTCATGCCTCTCATTTTCATATCAAC